CCATTTAGAGCAGAGGCCTCAGTAGCCTCGGCTTTGAAAATAGCCTCCAAGTGTGTAGAAGCTTTACGCATAAGTCTGTCATTACAGGGCGAAGTATCCTTTAAGCGTATCTTGGATGAGATATGAGGAAATGTGGTTGTTACGATGCTTTGAGATATCTAAATTAAGACTCCTAGAATTTTCTGCAATATAGGGCACCCTTTATCTGCAGTATAAAGCCTGGAGCACCTTTGCTCTTAAGGAGGGAGATCAGGAGAGACTGGGCCTTAAAGTAAGAGAGACACCAGGCACAGTGGAATGGAAGTGACAGTGTGCCACCAAATATAAGCCACAATGAGTACAAGTCCCTAATCACCTGCCTTATTCCTGGCTCTCTTTCCCCCCTAGAGCTCATGCTGTGGGTTAATAGTCTTTTGCATGAGCCTGAGTGGCTGTCCCCTCAGTGGGGGAGCTCGCCAGGGGCCTGCATGCCTAAAGGAGCAGAGAGAGGGGAGTCCCCCGGTGTGATCCTGCTATGAAATTACATTGTTTTCTTCACTGTGGGGTAGTCAAGGGCCAGACCCCCTACAATCAGCAGTATCACCCAGCTTCACTACACTAAGAGACATGCTGCTTAGCTCAGGGACTGGAAAAGCTCAGCCTTAGAGAAATGAGATTTCAGAGTGAGGTGGAAGGCAGGCTGGGGACCGGACCTGCCTGGCCAGTGGAAGGGAGGCTGGTGTCTTAGGAGGTAGTTCAGTGGTTACGTGTCCAGGCTGTGGGGTCAGATAGTCTGGTTCCTACCAACCAATTGATCTTGGGCACATTCCTAAACCTCTACAGTTTCAATGGCAACACTGACTTTCCTTACTTCAAAGATGGAAAAACTATGTCCTGATTATCACAAGATAACAAGTTGTCTGGCATGTAGTAAGCACTCAATAAATGTTAGCTATTGTCATCAAAAGCAAAACAGATTCACAATGTATGTAAGTCAAACCATTACGCTGTATACCTTAAACATATATAGGGACATATGTCAATTATATATCAACAAAACTGGAAACATTGAATAAAATAAATAAAAAATAATAACAATACATTAATTTTTTTTAAAAGAGTCGACAGATTTTTCAGATGGTTTCTGATGTGTGACTGGTGGTTCTTTTGTCCCTGAGCCCAGGTTCTGGGATGGGCAAGCAGAGGGGCACATTTAGCTGGGCTTTATATTATGGCTTAGCTTCAGTTCTGCAATGTTGATTTTGTGTTGGAT